GCTGCGGCCTGCTGCATCCCAACAGGCACAAGTAGATGACCGTGTAACGATGTTGTTTCATATTCTGTCACATTGAAGTAGCTTCAAACATCTTTTTGCCCAACGACTTGAGAGAGTGGTCACTTCAGCGTACACAGCCCTTTAGACCATCTGCTACTAGAAATGCGCGGTTGAAAGCCAGAAAGCAGTAGTGACCCGGCCACTGTCATGAATCTATCACAGTCTCTCTCGCTCTTGTACTGAAAATCTCTGTGCTTTTAGGCGGTAGCTAGGATTTTGAATAGGGTGTTCCAGCATTGTTTCATGGATGAATGTTGGACATATAGTCTAACTGGTTGCTATCGCCCACATAATTGTAGTGAGCCCTTGTTCTGTAAGTTCGTACTGGCTAGAAACAGATGAGTTTGGCGTACAACTGAAGAAGTTGCTTCCCATTTTCCGTGTGCTGAACATTGACTTCCAATCTGGCATCCGAATATAATTACTCGGGCTTAGTCATCCGACCCACCAAAATGACAGCTTCCGTTTTCTGGCTGTCTCATTCGCTCGTGCTAGATTTCGGTAAAACCTATTGCCCTGACTGTCGGGGCTGCAGTTTGGAGGGGGACGTGTGCCCACACGATAAATGTGCACAGCTTGACGCATTGACGTGCATTGATCTCAAATAAACCAGACAACCGTGGTGCGCGAAGATGACCGTTTAATGGAATCCAGACCAATAAGGCTCTTTCAACCGTGGGGTTAAGTACAACCCCATACAACGGACACCACGAACCATTACATCAGTGTCATCAGCTACCCGAAAAGTGAAATATGAAACATCTGAGCTCGTCCCATGCGGTTTGAGGTTGTCTTGTATGCTGAGGCGGGGCTTACTGTGGTATATTTTACTGGGTGATGGTTTAGACACGGAACAGTGGTTAGGACAGTGGTAGCTGAGCTGATCTCAGTAGACCATCTGAAGGTTTGGAGGTCGCCGGTGAACAAAGAGCTACAAAGACGAATGCTACTCCCAATTACCAAGTCCGAGCGATGGGGTTTATCCGAGGTAACCCATCTTGCGCCATTGACTTAAAAGTGTGCTCCACAAGGCAGTGAGTAGTGGGATTTCTTGGGGGCCATACCAGAAGCTAATGGCTCGAGATGCCTCATTGGTTTGGGAGCGAAGTTACTGTCCGGTAGGTCCGGGGTTCGAACCGATCCCACTTCACCTCAACTGCTCCTGTCTAGGCTTGAGCATCCTGGCACCATCTCAGCCCTCGTGCTTCCTTCAGGCCGCATGGAAGCCAGACACCGAAAGTATGATACAGTGGAACGACTATGTTTTGTATAGTCTGATCCACTTGACTGTGGGTGACTGATCTAGCTCGATGGCCCAGGGAATAAGGCATATATGTTCCTCTCCTGATACCATTAAGCACAACAAATGCATTTACAGCCGCTTCCCGCTCTTGGTGGAGTATTGTCATACTTTTCTGGCTCGCAAGAAAGGCTTTTTCAGAAAAAACTATTTCATCAGGTCTCAGTGGTGTTGTCTCTTAGAGGTTGTCCAGTGAGTATCAAAGAGACAGTGCTTCCGTCGGTCTGGAAGGCCTTTCAATTTGGCTAGGGTGAGGTCGGATTTCTATACGCTTGCATGGAAAATTGAGCCAAGCACTTTGATAGAAGGTGAACATTGTGGTTCCTTTGAAGAAGGCGAGTTTCACTCATATTTCCGTCTGAACTGAGCACTATCCCGTGATAATTGCAGGGGATTCAAAGAACAACAACACTGTTGATCAGTTCTTTCGCTGACCCATGGAGCGCCAGGCTAAGCTGCGCTGCTCTCGAATAGTCTGCTACGGTGTGCGCAGTCTTCACAGCTTCAGTACCTCCTGAGAATTCACATCAGTCGGTTGCATCAAGTTGCTAAATTTCAGTTGGGTCCTGTACACCACTACAATATCTGACAGCAAAACCTGCATCATTGATCGATATTGGCGCCTTTTGCGCTGTGAGAGAGATTACTCGACGCCGAAAACCCTAGGAACACCATAAAACTGTTTGGTCTTCGTCGGGAAGAGTCACCAATGTGCATGAAACTTTAACGGTGCTCGAGCCTGCAGATTTTCTTCCGAGCGGTCACTCGAGCGTTCATTCTTGATCTTGTGAACAGAAGTTGAGTTCAAAGATGCATAGCCTTACAGTGCTAAGGACGATCTCCCAAAATGAACAGTAGTACTCAATCACTGCCTGGAAAATCATAGGACTACAGAAATGTACACCACTGTTCCTTCTCGACCACCATTAGGCACCTGCTTCCTAGTGTGCGTCGACCCTTCCCAGTTGGATAGTTTTCAGCTCCGGAACCAGTCACTTAGGACATCGATGAAGTTTTTAGCCACAATGAAGAGTAGCACCGTGTTGATATTTAAGTAGTTATTAGTTACAAACTGCGAATATGTATACAAGACAAGCTAATTTTTGTTGTACCCACGTAATCGCACCAGGCGCCTACCCGTAGTTGTGCATTTTGAGCCACTAAACGTCTGGTTTTTGGTGCTACTCGCCTTCCAGGATAGGGACTTCATGATCCCCGCTGCGCCTGGTTGAAGACGGTGTTAATCGATGTCAAATGTGCTCTTTCTGTCAGTTTCTGACTGAGTGAGTGTCTGGAGATGTAGGCGCCCCGGAATGATTGTAGTAAGCTGGCGCTAACTCGCTTCCTTGTCTATTTTCATTCAGTGTTGCAGCAGTGTTGATCACTGATTTCGTGCTGTCGATGGTTGTGTGCGTAAAACACCGACTGTGAAATAGCTTACAAGTTTGAACTTACGCAACTATCATCACTTGGGAACACTTAGTCCCGGTTGAAATCTATTAATGCTGCGACCTCACCTAGAGGAGCGTGCTGATCAGCTGCTTTCCCAGGTTGCACTGTACAGTTTGCGCTGTCCAGTGTTCAACGACTGACGTGTGATGTAAAATGGAACAGCGTATCCCTGCTTTAATTTACTTTTACCCCGGGCTCTGGATTCATTTATTGACTTTGTAACCCTCAGATTGTCCGATATTGCAAATGACTGGTTCGGGTCTGGTATGTGTAAATCCTTTGAACCAGTAACACTGAGGCAGTCTCTATATCCCTATATTCACATACTTCTGGGTGGGTGAGGGTGTATGGTGAGCTCTCCAAAAGCTTCCCTACAAAAAGTGGTGTCAGACGTTTGCTAATTTGCGTCACTTGTGGCGTCAAAAAGGCATCTCACTGGATCTTAAGGGCCGTGTGTACCAGGCTACAGTAAGGGCTGTGTTGTTGTATGGGTGTGAGACAT